AAAAAAAAAAGAAATAAAGGGCATCCAAATTGGCAAAGAGGAAGTTAAGCTGTCACTATTTTTTGATGATATAATTGTATACCTAAAGAACCACAAAGACTCTTCCAATAACCTCCCAGAACTGACAAGTGAATTCAGAAAAGTTTCTGGATATAAAATTTATGTACACAAATCAGTAGCTCTGTTATAAAGCAACAGAGACTGAGCTGGGAATTAAATAATGAATGCAACTTACTTTTACAATAGCTGGAAAAAAAAATTAAATAATATACACCGAATCAATGACATGAAAGACCTGTACACAGAAAACTACAAAACACTGCTAAAAGAAATTATAGATGACACAAACAAATGGAAACACATCCCATGCTCACGGATTGGTAGAATCAATACTGTGAAAACGACTATAAAGTCAAAAGCAATCTAGAAATTCAATGTAATTCCCATCAACGTACCAACACCATTCTTCACAGAACGAGAAAAAACAATCCTTAAGTTTATATTCAACTATACTATAAAGCCATAGTCACAAAAATAGCATGATACTGGTATAAAAATAGACACATAGACCAATGGAACCGAACAGAGAACCCAGAAATAAACCCAAATACTTAGAGTCAACAAATTTCTAACAAAGTGAACAAAAACATAAAGTGGGGAAAGGAAACCCTATTGATCAAATAATGGAGGGATATTTGCAAGCCATATATAGGAGAATGAAACTGGAAACTCATCTCACAACTTATGCAAAAATAAACTCAAGATAGATATAAGACATAAATCTAAGACCTGAAACAGTAAAAATTCTAGAAGATAGAAAAACTTTTCTAGACATTTGCTTAGGCAAAGACTTCATGAAGAAGAACCCAAATGCAGATGCAACAAAAACAAATATAAATAGATGGGGCTTAAACTAAAAAGCTTCTGCAGAGCAAAAAAATAATCAGCAAAGTTAACAGACAAACCACAGAGTGAGATAAAACCTTCACAATCTATACATCTGTTAAAGGACTAAGATCCAGAATCTACAAAAAACTCATACAAATCAGCAAGAAATAAAAACAGTCTCACTGAAAAGTAGGCTAAGGACATGAATAGACAATTCTCAAAAGACACAAATGGCCAAGAAGCATATGGAAACATGCTCAAAATCCCTAGTTATCAGAGTAATGCAAATTAAAACCACAATATCATCATACCATCTCACTCCTGCAAGAATGGCCATAATTAAAAAATAAAAATGAAAAAAGAGATGTTGGTGGGGATGTAGTGAAAAGGGAAAAATTTTACACTTCTGGTGTGAATGTAAACTAGCACAACCACTCTGGAAAAAAAAGTGTGGAGATTTTTTAAAGAAATAAAAGAGCTACCATTTGATCTAGCAATCCCACTATTAGGTATCTATCCAGAGGGAAAAAAGGCATTATGTGAAAAATGATACTTGCACACACATGTTTATAGTCTATGTGACTATTTGTATACCAGCACCATGGTGCTGGTGATTATAGCTTTATAGTATAGTCTGAAGTCAGGTAATGTGACGCCTCTAGATTTCTTTTTTGCTTACTCTTGCTTTTGCTATGTGGAGTCTAAAATAAAATTTTATTATTTTCAATCACATCAATTAACTTGGAGGACAAAATATTAGTTGAAATAAGTCAGGCACAGAAAGATTATTATCTCATGACTAAATAACTTATTGTTACTATCTTTTACCTCCCTTCTTGAGTAAAGTGAAATAGGTTAAAGTTAATGGCATAACACTTCATTGAATGCACAATAGCCTTAACATGTTAAAGAAATGTTTAATTACAAAATTAAGTTTACACGTAATCTAAAAACTTTTGCATTTATAGCATAAAAGTACAATTAGTTGAATGATTCACTAGTAATTTAATTACACTTAAGTAAAATTAAAAAACCTTTTCTTCACTATGATATAGAGTATTACTCTGAACACCTACCTATCTCATGCATCACTAAGTAAACTGACAAAAGTCTCTCCACTTTTTCATCATAAATCTTACATTTTAATGCCCATATTTTTCCACAGAAAAAAATAATAATGCCCATCTAATAAAAGAGAATCTCTCATGTATTTGACAAAGCAACAATTTATCACGTGCTTTCACATGTGAATAAATGAAGATAAAGAATAAGAGTTGAATTTCATCATTTACTTTTCAAATTAGCTGTAATTTTTTCAAGAAAAAGTATACTTTGAGTATAACTCTCCAAAGAATCTTCTGCTCCTTTTAAAATTATTTACAAATAATCTAGCAACTTATAGATTTTTTAAATACTCAACACTCTCTTTTAGTGTAATGTCTAAAGTGTCAGTGCCTTAGTTATTTCTACTGTGAATTCTCAGATATTTTACATAGACTCAATTCTGGGTTAAATATTTTTCATACTTGCTGCATCTGCAAAAACACATTTCAATATAAACTGATGTTTTCTAAGCTGCAGTCTTTGAAATAAAACGTTTTTCCAAATTCATTAAATTTCCTGATGTTGAACAAAGTTTGAGCAACTGCTTCAGGGTTTTCCTCTAGTACAAAATGTGTATATAGTAAGATTTGTGATACAAGTAAAGGTCCTACAAACCTCCTATGCTCCTAATATTTGTTATGTTTGTCTTCAGAATAACATGCTTCTTCACTTTAAAGGGTTACATTTTCTGAAAGATCTGTTGACAGTAATTGTATTTATAATGCTTTTATTAAATATGAACTCTCTGATGCTGGAGTAAGATGTGAACAGGTATCAATGGCTTTTTCGCATTCTATTTGTATAATCTTTCTCAAGCAAAAATGCTTTCCTGTGCAATAAGTTTTGTCACATTCTTTACACTTATAAAGTTTTCTCTAGTATAAATTATCTTACTTACAATCAAGTGTAACAATCATTGGAAGGCTGTGTCAAATTCTTCACATATTTAGGGTTTCTCAACAGGATGGTTTCTTTTATGTTTAGAAAAGTTTTAGGTGTTGTCAAAATCATTGTCACATCTTTCAGGTTTGTAGAATTTCTCACCAGTATGAATTTTCTTATGTCTAGTAAGGTGTGAAGACCGGTTAAAAGCTTTGCCGCATTCTTCACATTTGTAGGGTTTCTCTCTAGCATGAATTCTCTTATGATTAGCAAGAGTTGCGGGCCAGTTAAAAACATTGCCACATTCATCACATTTGTAGGATTTCTCTCCGGTATGAATTAACTTATGGTTAGTAAGGGTTGAAAATAAAGTAAAGCCTTTGCCACATTCTTCACATTTATAGGTATTCTCTCTAGTATGAATTCTTTTATGTCGAGTAAGGCTGGAGCACCCATTAAAAGCTTTGCCACATTCTTCACATTTGTAGGGTTTCTCTCCAGTATGAATTCTCATATGTTCAGTAAGGTTTGAGGATTGTATAAAAGCTTTGCCACATTCTTCACATTTGTAGGATTTCTCTCCAGTATGAATTTTCTTATGTCTAGTAAGGTTTGCAAACTGGTTAAAAGCTTTCCCACATTCTTCACATTTGTAGGGTTTCTCTCCAGTATGAATTTTCTTATGTTTAGTAAGGTTTGAAAACTGGTTAAAATCTTTGCCACATTCTTCACATTTGAAGGGTTTCTCTCCAGTATGAATTCTCTTATGGTTAGTAAGGGTTGCAAACCAGTTAAAGGTTTTGTGACATTCATCACATTTGTAAGGTTTGTCTCCAGTATGAATTATCTTATGTTTACTAAGGATTGAGAATAAACTAAAGCCTTTGCCACATTCTTCACATTTGTAGGGTTTCTCTTCAATATGAATTTTCTTATGTTTAATAAGGGTTGAGGATTGGTTAAAGGCTTTGCCACATTCTTCACATTGGTAGGGTTTCTCTCCCATATGAATTCTCTTATGTTTAATAAGCTCTGAGAACCAGTTAAGAACTTTGCCACATTCCTCACATTTGTAGGAATTCTCTCTAGTGTGAATTCTTACATGTTGTTTTAGGTGTGAAAGCATATAAAATGATTTGCCACATTCTTTACATTTGAAAAATTTCTTTCCAGTATTTATCTTACGACTATTTGAATTTGAAAATTTATGAAAGACTTTCATGTATTTATCACATTGAAATATTTTGCTCTGGGTAGTTGTCAAACATCGGTTAAGTTCATTATAACCTCCTTTGTACACCTTACACTCATCCACACTTTTACAGCTTATTCTTAATTGTAAATTCTCATGTCCACATTTTCCATATCCTCTCAGTATCATTTTTTGGAAAGAATCTTTTATTCTGTGCTCTGGCCAAAGGTCTTCAGCAAAATGAGAACACATAACTGAAAGACATTAAAATAACAAATTACTCCACTTGCTACACTGAGATGAATATACTTTACAAATCAAATCTATCAAATTATACAAACTATATAAGCAAAATGACATAGCAAAGTACCACAGGCCCCAATTCTTTCACAGACATATAAATGTAACAAAAACATACTGACCAAAATACATTTGAAAATTTATGAATGAGTGAAGTGTGTATCCTGCCCCAATGTCCACAATGCAAAGAGCCAAATAAAAGAAAAAAAAAAAAGTTTATTACGTTTACCCAACACAGCTCTTCCTGCTCCCAATATAACACAGTGCTTTTAGAAGTAAATTGCCAACTCCTGGATTCTTATTTAAAAGAAAAATAGTAGCACACACATATTTACATATGGCTTCTAGGGACCTTTTCAGACACTGGCTATTGTGTCCCATAACATAAAGTGCTGACAGAAATGGTACTATACTTTGGAATGACAGTTTGAGTCTGCTGAAACCAAATATAAATGTTACAGCAGCAGAGAGACTGCAGTACCACAGACAGAAAAAAGGTATAGCAAATAATTACTATTAAAAAGACACAAATAAACTGCTTTAACTAAAAAAAAAAAAATTCAGAAAAGACACATCCTAAGAATATATTTAAGAGACTCCTAGAATCTCTAGCCAAGAAAATTGTTTTCAGAGTATGCCAAGACAAAGCTACATTATAAATATTGTGACAGGTAGTTTTTAAAAAATATCGAAATCTCAATTAAAGATGCCATGTATACAAGATATTAGGGCAATATGATTCCATCACAAATAATTTTTAGAAACAACCATAAAAAAGAAAATGTATATATTAATTTTAAAATTTTAAAATAAATTCAATATTAGTCAATAAGTGAAACAGGAAAACAGACAACTTATTGAAAATCAGAAAAAAATGAGGATAACAAAAAATATCAAATAACAGAAATTGTGGAGGTAAAAAATACAAAAATAACTGAAAAATCCTATAAGAAAAAAATGTACAAATGAAGCTCAAAAAGAAAAATTAGGATACACACAATGATATTTATAATAAACACACATATAAGCACAATTTCAGAAGTCACAGACAAGAAAACAATCTTGTAAGCTGCAGTATAAAAATAGTATGTCATTTACAAGTATAGTCTTTTTAAGAAACCAGTGAATTTGTCAAGAAAATTTTGCAGGCAAGAAGAGAACTGTGTGATATAGTCAAAATCATGAAAAAAATAGATATCAAGTGAGAATAATACCATCAGTAAATCTGTCCTACAAAATAAAAAGGAAAAAAAACTTCCAAAATAACCAAATTCTGAAAAAGTTTATTGGTGCTGCAAATTCCCTACATATAAAAAAATGCTGAAAGCAGTTTCTTCCACTAAAAATAATATGATGAAAGAAAACAACACATTATCACATAAAAATATGTAACTTTATGAAAAAGATACGCACATACATGAATAGAAATCCTTAGCATTATCATAATGGTGCAGAAAACATTAATTGTTCTCTAAAATTTGAATGATACAATCATAAAGTATTATAAATATCTATTAATAAATATCTAACAGAAAAAATTAGCAACATTAATAACAAAATTCAGGGTAGATATAATGAAAAGAATTTTTGTATGCAAGGGAAGTTAATTTTTCTACCAGATTATAATGTATTATTGTGTCTTTTAGAGGTTTTATGTAATCCCCAAGGTACCACAAAGAAAATATCTGTATAGATATACAAGAGAAAACAGGAAGGAAGTGAAAGCATTTCAGTACAAAAATCAACAAGACACCAAGGATGACAGAAACAGAAAATCAGGGACAAAGGTAGAAGAATCAAATAAAACAATTAAAATAACATTAGTCTTTCTCTTTCAGAAAATTAAATATATGTGCATGCGTGCATGCATGTGTGTATGTAAAATTAACTTTCCAATCAAAAGACATACTTTCATTAAAGGGATTTGTTAAAGAATTTTAAAAACCAAGATTCAACTTGCCTTTTTACAAGGATCAGCAGAGATCTAATGATAAACAGAGACTGAAAGTGGCAAGACAAAAATAGACATTTCACACAAATATTAGCCAAATGAGAGGTCAAAATAATATTACACAAAATACATCTTAAGTCAAAAACTGTCATATTTTATAAAATATACTTGAAGTCAAAACTCCAAAGAGACAAAGAAAAAGATTAAACAATAATAGATGCATTTACTAGGAACCAATGACAAATTTGCATATAGGGGTGTGTGTGCGCACCTGTGTGTGTGCATGTATCTCACATTAAGTTTCTAAATATATAAAGCAAATATTGTCAGAATGAAAGAAATACATAGTAGGATATTTTAATACTTCACTTTCTGTAATAAAAATGTTAAAAAGACAAAAGTTAGCAAAGAAACAGAGAGCTTGAAGGGAGTATAAAACAATTATTTCTAACAGAGGCATAGAGAACCTATGTCTCAATATCATCACGATACGAAGCCTTCTCAATACCTCATACAATCTTCTCCTTGAGAGGCAACCCGGTAGAACAAAAAAATAAGTCTTAACAGATTCTGTAAAACGAAATTTTTATAGATTATTTTCTATGATCAGAATGAAATTGAGAGTACAGAACAGTAAGACGAAAAAACGGAAAAATTCACAAACACATAGAAATTAAACAATACACTCTTCAGCACGCTTCACTTCAAAGGTTAAAATAATCTTGTGAAAATGTCTATACTGTTCAATGTAATTTACAGACTTAGTGCAATGTTTTTCAAATTTCTCAATGCATTTTTGAATAAAAACAGCAGCCCCAAAAGTATGTAAAATCTTAACTACCCCAAAATCTTCAATAAAATGAACAATTTTGAAAGCATTCCAGTTTCTGATTTTGAAACACATTACAGAGCTACAGAATTATAACAATATGGTATGAGTACAAAAGGTAAAAGTGTACCCTAGTAGAATAAAATGAAGCATATATATAAACTTTCACATATATGACAAGAGTCATTTGAATATCTGTAATCATTGCAGCATTGTTACTGAAAGCCAATAGGTAAAAGCAATGCAAATTTGTCACCAAATTACTCAGTATATATAATTTAAAATATAAAATACTTAAATATCCCCTATATTTATAAAGCAGGAAATATTCTAACAACTATAAAGTTTGATGACATTATGCAAACTAAAATGAGCCAGTCACAAAAAGACAGAGATTGTATGAGACATATGAAGCACAGTTAAAAGAAAATTAAGAGAAAATTGAGTGAATTGAAATTCACTTAAGAGAAAATTGAGTGGTGTTTGAAAAGTGCCAGGAAGTGGGCAAAACTGGTAATTGTTTAATGTGTATTGATATTTAGCTTTGCAAGATAAAAACATTGTAGAAATATGTTTCATAACAATGTCAATATAATTAACAGTACTAAATTAAATATTTTAAAATATTCTATTGTAAATGTTATATTTTTGAAAAGTAAAAATAGACAATAATAACTAAAAGAGATACAAAGTTACTATAGTTTTAAAATTATCTTTAAATAGAAAAGTTTTTTTCCCACACAAAAATAATATACATTGACAAATAAATGGATGTCAAAATTAGGGGAATTTTTATGACTGCTCACCTTGACAAGATTAAATAACCATTTGCAACAAATCTATACCAGAAATATACAAGTCATAAAAAGTACAAGGATAATATTTATGCAGGTAAACACGTACAGAGATCATTATATTAGCAGTAGACATATGGGCTGATTCATATTTGACTTTACTCCATACTGTCTTAAATTGTACAAATACTGGCATATACAATTATAATATAACCTAAAAAATCAAAACACAATTAACTCATGTGAGGTGGCATATCCTAAAATACATAACACAAAAATATAAAATTGCAAAAAAAATTAAAACATGAAAAGTAAAACTTACTGGACAACATCAAATACTTCAATATATTCATTAAACAACTCTTAGAAGAAAAATATAGGGAAAAAGTAACCTAAAGGTTACTTGCAGACAAAAAAAGTCTGAGAACATTCAAATTTTGATGTAGCAATAAAATTCCTAACCAGTATACTTGATTCAAAATTAGTTTACTTTAAAAACAAGATAAAATAAAGACTTTTCAAAATGAAAGGTGACAGTGTTCATTATGTCTGGCACAGTTCCACATGAAATGCTACATAGTGGCCTGGCAAAGTGGCTTAGGCCGGTAACCTTACAGCTTTAGGAGGCCAAGGCAGTAAGATAACTTGAAACCAGGAGTTCAAGATCAGTCTGAGCAACATAGTGAGACTCTGCATATAAACAAACAGAAATGCTAAAATGAGTTCATTATTTCGGGAAAAAAACAATGATGCTGGACAGCATAAAACCATATATAAATATAAAGTTCTCCATTAAATGTAAATACACATACACACATAGATATTTACTCTCCTAATGATGGTGCATAAAACCTTTAAAGTTATTCTATATGACAAAAAATAAATCTCCATAAATCTGTTAATAGATACCCAATAAAAAACAATATAGTTTTTAACATCAATAAAAAACTGGAAAATACAAAAGTATAGTTTTTGTATTAAATTGATTTTGTTGGGCAGGCCTGGTGGCTCATGCCTGTAATCCCAGCACTTTGGGAGGCCAAGGTGGGTGGATCACCAGGTCAGGAGTTCGAGATCAGCCCGGCCAACATGGTGAAACCCTGTCTCCACTAAAAATACAAAAATTAGCTTTTAAGAACTGTGAGACAAAGGCACCAGGGTAACCAATAAAGGAAAACTATTAGATTAACAGCAGACTTACCAGCAGAAATCCTGCAAGCTAGAAGGGACTAGGGCCCTATCTATCTTCAGCCTCCTCAAACAAAACAACTATCAGCCAAGAATTTTGTATCCAGTGAAATTAAGCATCACATATGAAGGAAAATACAGTCTTTCTCAGACTAACAAATTCTGAAATAATTCATCATTACCAAGCCACCA